AGAAGAGCTGATGCAGCTTGTTCTTCTCAGTCCTGTCTCTTTAGAAAGAAACTGCAACCAGAGGTTCAGCTCATTGGAAACCTATTTAGAAGCAATGTAGATCATCTTGAAACTCTGGGAGAGTGGTTCTCAGCCAGCAGGCTTCCAAATGTTATGGACCAATTCCCCAAATCCCCCAACCAGTATCGCCATGGGCCAGCCACCCCTGCTCCCATGTAGCTTCTGTCCACTCACAGTCAAACATTTCAAACTAACAAAACCCACAAAAAGTAGAATTCACACAGTAGCCTTTAGGAAGCTCAGGTCTCATTTAAGATTTGGTCTGCATCTTCCAGAAGTTGGAGCCACGAAGCAATCTGAGTTTGTCTGGCTTTCAATCCAAGCTCCTCTCGCAGCTCTCCATGGTGCTGACCAGTACTTGTCTTGCTGACATTGTACAGTATCTGATAGCGGCTGACCTCCTTACTGGAATATCCACTGTGCTGCTGACCATTTCGGAAGTTGGCTCTTGCTGTGTTCAACCTTGCCCATCTAAACCCTTGGTTGTTGAGTTGACGCATCCTCTTGATACTCCAATCCTTTGAGCAGAACCACTTTACCAGAATCTTGAACTGAACTTATTTATCATCTTCCTGTGAACTTGGGGACAATGGTACACTCAAATGGTCTAAAATTCTGTATTTAGCAGGACGATATAGATTACAGAACCATATTGTCAAACATTAGTTTCAGTGATCTTAATGACATTAAAATGTTATAACGAAGAGGGGGGAAAGCAGGTGTGAGGCATCCCTTTGTCATTCCTAGCTCCACCCCAAGAGAGATCCCTCCACCTCCCAGAAATCAGTTGGCCTGTGACTACTTGAGGGAGAGGAATCAACAACTCTTTCCTCATGTTTCGATCCAGGTCTATGATCTGTTGCATGTCATGCAGATAAGAGCTTTGGAGAATCGAGTTTTAAAACAGCCTAAATCCTAGAAGAAAGGAAATGTTTTTTCACATTCTGTTGGGCTCAACAGAAAATCATAAAATGGTGAGAGAGGTCTCTGAGTTGGTTGATTACATGGAGCATATTTTGCAGAAGTAGGACAAGGCTATTTTAAGCAGATGTTATGTTTTTTACTACCATCATTTTCTTCTTCATTGACATTGTTTGATCACATGTTGTATATTGTCTTGGCTATGTAAAACACAAAAAGGTGAGAAATAAATAGAACTAAATACCTAAATAATGGCTAAGCCTTCGTCAACTCCAGTCTGTACATCTGCTTTGTTCAAGATAAATTGTATTAGTTCATTAACCTTCATGCACCAGGGTAAAATATTTTTTCTCATATGAATTTTGAGTTATTTTCTGATCCCATAAGAATTTCAGTACGTTTGTGAGTCAGCAATAGGATTGGGAGTTAGGGTTAAGTTTGAACTTTGAAGTTTCTCCCAAATCTACTGAGAATTCTAGTGCATCTCCCAATCCTGGAATTGGACCAGTTGACAAGCAGAGTATATAGTTTCTGCATATCTGCATCATTAGTCATCAAAAAATAACATGGGGCATTTTTTGTGCAAATAAATCACATTGACCGGGACATAAAAGTATCACAGTGGTAAAAGAAAAACAAGATATTACTTAGAGGTTGATTAAAGCAATTTTGTGCTGGCACTGCGGGTTAAACCACAGAAGCCTCTGTGCTATAAGGTCTATAGATCTTTAGCTGTAAGATCGAATCCACATGACGGAGTGAGCGCCCGTCACTTGTCCCAGCTCCCGCCAACCTACCAGTTCAAAAGCGTGCAAATACAAGTAGATAAATAGGGACCACCTCAGTGGGAAGGTAACAGCATTCTATGTCTAAGTTGCACTGGCCATGTGGCCACGGAAGATTGTTTTCGGACAAATGCTGGCTCTATGGCTTGAAAATGGGGATGAGCACCACCCCGTAGAGACGAACACGACTGGACAAAAATTGTCAAGAGGAACCTTTACCATGATGTATAAATGTTATGTTTAGTCATTAAGTCATGACCGACTCTTCGTGACCCCATGGACCAGAGCACACCAGGCCCTCCTGTCTTTCACTGCCTTTCAGAGTTTGGCCAAATCCATGTTGGTTGCTTCGATGACACTGTCCAACCATCTCATCCTCTGTCATCCCCTTCTCCTCTTGCCTTCACATTTTTCCAACATCAGGGTCTTCTCCAGGGAGTCCTCTCTTTTCATGAGATGGCCAAGGTATTCGAGCCTCAGCTTCAGATCTGTCCTTCCAGTGAGCACTCAGGGTTGAATTCCTTCAGAACAGATAGGTTTGATCTCCTTGAAGTTCAGGGGACTCTCAAGAGTCTCCTCCAGCACCACAGTTCCAAAGTATTCACTTCCATACATCGCTACTGGAAAAAACATAGCTTTGACTATGCGCACCTTTGTCGGCAAGGTGATGCCTCTGCTTTTTAAGATGTTGTCTAGGTCTCTCATCACTTTCCTCCCAAGAAGCAGGCGTCTTTTAATTTTGTGGCTGCTGTCACCATCTGCAGTGATCATGGAGCCCAAGAAAGAAAAATCTGTCACTGCCTCCATATTTTCCCCTTCTATTTGCCAGGAGGTGATGGGACCAGTGGCCATGATCTTAGGTTTTTTGATGTTGAGCTTCAGACCATTTTTGGCACTCTCCTTTTTCACCCTCATTAAGAGATTCTTTAATGACAGAAGTAGATGTTTTTCTGGAACTCTCTGGCTTTCTCCATAATCCAGCGTGTGTTGGCAATTTGGTCTCTAGTTCCTCTGCCCCTTTGAAATCCAGTTTATACTTCTGGGAGTTCTCGGTCCACATACTGCTGAAGCCTACCTTGTAGGATTTTGAGCATAATCTTGCTAGCATGCAAAATGAGTGCAATTGTACGGTAGTTGGAACATTCTTTGGCACTGCCTTTCTTTGGGATTGGGATACAGACTGATCTTTTCCAATCCTCTGGCCACTGCTGAGTTTTCCAAACTTGCTGGCATACTGAGTGTAGCACCTTAACAGCGGCATCTTTTAAGATTTTAAATAGTTCAACTGGAATGCCCTCACCTCCACTGGCCTTGTTTTTAGCCATACTAAGCATCCTTAGAAAAGGTCCACTTGACTTCCCTCTCCAGGATGTCTGGCTCAAGGTCAGTAACCACATTATCTGGATTGTCCGGGACATCCAGATCTTTTTGGTATAGTTCCTCTGTGTATTCATGCCACCTCTTCTTGATGTCTTCTGCTTCCATCAGGTCCCTCCCATTTTTGCCCTTTATCATGTCCATCTTTGCACAAAATATTCCTTTAATATCTCCAATTTTCTTGAACAGATCTCTGGTTTTTCCCTTTCTATTATTTTCCTCTCTTTCTTTGCACTGTTCATTTAAGAAGGCCCTCTTGTCTCTCCTTGATATTCTTTGGAAATCTGCATTCCATTTTCTGTAACTTTCCTTATCTCCCTTGCATTTTGTTTCCCTTCTCTTCTCTGCTATTTGTAAGGCCTCACTGATGATGATGATGATGATGATGATGATGATGATGATGATGATGATGATGATGATGATGATGATGATGATGATGATGATGATGTGTGCACTATACAGGGGAATAAAATATCCCATCCCTGTGTATAACCGTTAAAGGAAGTATGAAGACCTTTCTGTGGTTACACTGAATATTTCCCAAGTCATCTATGAGATGAAAAGTTATACATGTTTTATTTCATTATAAATAGAATTCTCATTGTTCCTTCTAACAGCAGATTATGTTTGTGAAAGCTAAGAGATTTTAGTCAAAATAGTGCTGCTTAGAAAGAACAGGGAAGCATCTGCATGTTCAACAAAACCCTGAGGGTTACAGGAATAAAAAAAAATCAATACTTTTTTAAAAAGAAAAAATCAACCCTATGATGTCTGAGTATGCACAGCAACCACTAAACATATCCTATGAAATAAAACTGAACATAAGCAAGAGAGTAGAATTTTGGCTAGAGATGGATTTTCACATTTCTTAGACCATAAATCCCATAATTCTCCCTTCTGGGAGTACTACCTGATAAACACCAAAATGTGGCTCGCCTGGAAGAAAGGCCTTATCTGGAAAGCCTTGAGGCTTAGCTAGGCCTTAGCTCCACCTGCCCTGCCCCAGTACTAGCCTGGAACCTTCTTTCTGAACAGACTCGCCTTATCTGGAAAGGCCTTATCTGGAAAGCCTTGAGGCTTAGCTAGGCCTTAGCTCCACCTGCCCTGCCCCAGTACTAGCCTGGAACCTTCTTTCTGAACAGGAAGCTTAGGTGGTGCCTATCTGTGAGGTACAGCTCTCAAAATGGTGAAATCTGGAACTTGTAGTTCATGAAATGCAAAATTCCTACCCCTAGCTGGAACAGAGAGTCTCGTTACTGTATTGACTTTAAGCTGATTGCAGACTTTTGTGCATGATAGCTGGGAGCTGTGTGTGTATCCACTGTCCAGAACAGTCTCTTGTTTGGGAATGCCTATTCTAAACAGACTTTAAAATTTTCACTGACAATGCATTATAGGTGGGTAGGCATTGATATATTTAATATTCTATTAAAAATACGTTGACACATTCAAGAACACAAGAGTTTTGTTAAAGTGAACAGCAAAAAAAAAAAAGGAGCAGACAACTTCAAAGTAATAGAAAGAAATGTCTAAGAATGCTGTTTTTCTACAGTTTACAATGCTTCCTTTGTATAACTTTAGAGCCAGCTTTCAGAAGAATGCAGAGAAACTGGTGAAAACACTTATAGTAGAACTCATGGAGTGATACACACGCTATCTCCTTTTACTTGACTCAGTGGTTTTTGTTTTATAGATTGCAGTGACTGATTCCCTTCTGATCAGTTTTACTCGAGTGATCTACTGGCATCAAGGAAAATGTTTTAGATTGTTGCAAAGTTAAGAATAAGGAAAGACCCTCGGAAGGAAGCTGTCTTCTGTAAATAGATTTCTTCTAATTTCTCCTTTCCTGATCAATAGGAGGAGAAGTCCCCTACACAACCCTGGCGACACGGATGATGATGGGTGCCTGGTGGCTCTTCGCCTTGATTGTCATTTCTTCCTACACAGCCAACCTGGCAGCTTTTCTGACCATCACTCGGATTGAAAACTCCATCCAGTAAGTCAGTGCTAATAGTGTAATTGAGAGGATGGGTGTTTCCTAGAACTGCAGGTGGGCCTGGCCTTTCTATTAGACTGAGTCAGTCTGCTCAGTTGGCAGCAGCAAGGTTTTGCAGGAGAGAGGCTGGGTGCCATGCTGCCTATGATAGCTAAGTTGCCTTCAGATCATCACAGTCAACAGGCCAACTGACTGTTGTACGTGTAATGGGAGGGATAGTCATCTTGTGCAGCAAAATGTCTTTGATTGGCCTGGACTGTAACTATCCTTAATATAGTAATTGTACCTGAGCACCTTCCACATCTTTTTACCCAACAGTGTCCTGATGCTTATGCTTCTTATCTAATTAATAGCACTGTGCTGTCAAGTTGATTCCAACGTTGCCAGGGGTTTCTAGGTATACATTACTCAGGAATGGTTTACCATTTACTTCTTTTGGAGAAGCTCTTAGACTGCGCAGCTTGCCCAAGGCTACACAGGCTAAATCTTCTCCTGGGAGACACCCTGGGCAATTACACTCTTTGCTTCATAGCCAAACATTCCAACTCTACCTGGCTGAAATTCAGTAATAAGTCACAACTAAAGTAGGCCTATTGAATCAGTGGAACCTGAGTAGGTGTTGACTTACCAGTTACCCAGTGATCCAATTGGACTATTCTAGTAGCAACGTACTACTGGATTGTAGCTATAAGGAGCCTTGTGGCGCAGTGGTTAAACCACTGTACTGCAGCCAAAACTGTGCTCATGACCTGGGGTTAAATCCCAGGTAGACAGCTCAAGGTTGACTCAGCCATCTATCCTTCCGAGGTCAGTAAAATGAGTACCCAGCTCGCTGGGGTGGGGGGAATGTGTACCCTGCATAACTAACATCTAAACCGCCCAGAGAGTGCTTGAAGCACAATGGGGCGGTATATAAGCAGCACGCTTTGATTTTTATTCTTTGTTCTTCTCCAGCCATATTGCCTCCAATTCCCACCACTGCTTAAAACAAATGATATATATTTGCTGGAAACACACACAAAACAAATAATTGCAAATGAAATAATAAAAGGCAGGTACTTTATAAGAGCAACAGAGTCAGATGGCTTTCAACACTTCTTTAAAACGGGTGACCTTGTCAAATCATCTCACAAAGAGAATCACAAGTTGAGAGGTCCTCACCAGGAAAGCTCTACCCTCATGGTGAGGACCTTTCACCATGAAGCTTAAGCATATGTCTGCTTAAGCAGATCCAGAGCATGGAGCCTCTAATACATAGCTTTTCCTTTTGTAAGGTTTATAGTTTCATGGAATTTTAAAAGGGGAGGTCTACTTTGAAAAGCAGTATAGGAGAGAGACCTGAGATCTCCTTCGTGCCTGCAGAAGAATAGCAAGAAGGACTGCACTGCTTCAGGTTGCAGGAGGGACATCCCCTTGTATTAAACCTTCCCTGAATTTTCCTTTTCATGCACATTGAGCTAAAGGCTAGGGTATAATTTCCCACTTAACGTAGTGCCATTCAGAAAAAGAAGGGGTCAGTTTATCTTATTTTCCGTCTACAGTGGTACAGTCTATTCTGCCAGCTCAGCATTTTACCATCTCACATCTTGGTGCTGAGCCTGTTTAGCAGAGAAGAGAGGTGGGATCGATAGGAATGAAAACAGTCTCCTGGTTTTTCTTGGTCCTTTACCCTGCAGTTATTTCTTCCAATTAGCTGTTTTTAGGTGCTTCTGTACAGGCTGTGATATCCTTGGGCTGTGGCACATTCCTAGTGCCTACGTAAAAGGAGGCAGGATGTGAAGAAAGGTGCCCAACTGCTCTTGATTGTGACAGGTCCTGCTGTTTGTCTGCTCCATTCAAAACCAAGCAGACCTCAGTGGTTGCTGCTGCTACATCCTTCCCCAAGGAACAATTCATGGCTCTCTGTTGCGGGCCGTAAGCAATAAAAGGAATATATTCGCGAAGGCTTTCATGGCCGGGATCTAATGGTTGTTCTGGGTTTTTCGGGCTCTTTGGAAGTGTTCTGAAGGTTGTTCTTCCTGACGTTTCGCCAGTCTCTGTGGCTGGCATCTTCAGAGGACAGCAACCAGAGTACAGGTTACTGTCCTCTGAAGATGCCAGCCACAGAGACTTGCGAAACGTCAGGAAGAACAACCTTCAGAACACTTCCAAAGAGCCCGAAAAACCCAGAACAACCAATAAAAGGAATGGTCATTCAAATCATAGAATCTCCACCCTTAGACTATAACAAAATGGTCTCTAATTGCTAAAATAGGGAAATAAATCATAAATCATAATTGCACACCTTTCTGAATAACACATAGTACAGAATGTGGCACCTCTTCATGCATATGTGGACAAAACTTTTTAGCTGTCATGCAGTATAGTTCAGATCTATCTGAGGACGTCCCTCAAAGCTTTCACCCAAGGAAGGCTAACTGTGTCTATGGTGCTGCATTAGGAAAACATCATTGCCATTTAATTCTGATAGATATTTGTTGTTCACAAAAAGAGAGAGCAAAATCTTTTTTTTTTCTCCCCAACCTGACATCACAAACTCTATCCTCCAGCCCTATAAACTATCCAGCTATCACTGTCATTGTGTTCCGATGTGGCTGTCATTGCAGGGTGTCAGATCACTCATCTTCTGCATCCCGTCTTCTCAGCCTACCTGGCATTAATCCTTACAACTGCAGCAAGAGGGAGGAGAAGAGGAAACAGCATGGGCATAGTGTTCCCTGAATCGTAAATAAGAATGCTTCCGAAATAGCCACCTTGGCCTCATTATTCAGAGACTAATTGCTCCTGCACATGACAAATTATGTGCAACAAGATGGCTCTAATAGCACCTTCAGACTCAGGAGACATATTGTTGTTTGCCTTGCACAATCATGTAAAGATGATTCAAAGTTTGCAGCTCGTATGTAATCAGCACTTTACAATTCTGGCCATTATGCTGCTCAGGATTTTCCTATTGTCAGGGATGAAAATCAGATTTTACTGTTCTAAAACAGAGCAATTATATTATCCAGCATTTTGAACCTACAAACCACTTTAACTATTCCAACAACACAAAACTTAGATTGGAACCAAAACACATCTTCACGTATGAGAACAGAAACAACCAAAGCAGAAACAAACCAACTAATGACATATAGGGTTTACCTTCTGTTACTAAGGCATTTTTGCTTGAGATATTGCAATATGGGGGAGGAGAAAATTAGCTTGCAGATGGAGAAAAAATGTGCAGTTGGGGAAAAATGTGCATTTGGAAATGAATAGATGTGCATTGGGGGGGAAACAGATAGGTTGTGCACATCTCTTCATTAAGGAGTTACATGGCAAGCCTGACAAGCGGTGTAACAGAACAATTTGTATAAGGGTTAGGAAGTGTTTAGTTTCCGTACTTGAATCAACCTACCAAATGATTTTTTAAAATAAAACCCTCTTCTTTTTTAAAACTTTCCTCCTCTTCACTTTCATCAGTGCTAAAAATCTGCAGGTCCTATTGACTGCAGTATAACAGACACTAAAAGCAACCATTCGGCCTGAAGATTTGTGTTTCGCTTTTGTGGGGTAGATTTTTGACAGGGCGTTTGTGCAACAGGAACATCTGCTTTAAATTTTTTGAAAAAAACTGCTGTAGTGCCATGTCCTTAAATTAATGTATTATACTAGCCCTGCCTGTTCTCCATGAAATTGTAATTTGGGGAGTCAAGGGAGAGTCCAAAGGAATTAAAGTCTTTATAATTTCATGCTAGGATTCTTTGGGAAAGTTCTCGCATTTGAATGCTGCTGGCTTCACTAATAAAGTTACAGTATTACCAAAGCAGGTTGTCCCTTTCATTGTGGTGACAGGAGAGATGTTCTTATTGGCATTTCTCATCCTGACTTGAGCCATGCTTTATGTTCCTGTTGGCCTGTTGAACCTGATGTATTTGTGTTGGCCATCTTGTGAGGTGGTATCGTTCAGTGGGGTTGGAGCACCTGGCTGTTGGGCCAGGAGGTGGGTATCTGAAAGCGCATTGTGCCTCCTGGGAAAGGTAATGGCTGAGATCACCAGAGCAAAGTGTGTATGGCTGATGGGGTTAAATGCCGACCTTGTGTGACCTTGTGCTGCCCCAGAAAACCACCAAATGCCAGTGGGAAACTGTGATAGGATCGCCATGTGAGAACTGACTTGGCAGGACATAATTATTAATTATTGGATATGGTGAATTTGGCAGAATAATAAAGCAATGAAAAGTTGTAGGAATATATTTGGCCATAGCCAAGATTTCTAATGATCAGCGGCACCGCTTAGAAAAGCTCCCTTTTGGGCAATAGTACCCCAAACTGCTCCAACCAGCAGAGCCATGGGCTAGGAGATTCAGGGAGCTATTATCTCAAAAAGCAAGTTTTCCAACAGCAGTGTTTCATGTTTCTGGATTATTGTTCCCCAGAAGCTGCCCTGGTACTTCCTGAGAGTTGCAATCTTGCTGCCCATTAGGTTGTACTGAGGTGATTCCCAAAGAAGTATGACTCCCAGGAAAGACCAGCTTGCTTTCTTTTCCTTTGCTTTTCTTACAAATCAAAAACAAGACATAATGGCCAGAGAAGCAGATGGTGGAGGTTGACACTTCTGAAGCCCTTCTCCGGATGGGCAAAACCTGATTTGGGAAAGGTTTGTAGGACATGCAGCAATAAAGAATGAAGGATTTGGGTTTGTGGGCTGCAACTCCAGAATTCTTGGAAAATTCTGGGCATTGTAGTCCAAAAACATGGAAGAGCACACCCCTATATGTTTTCCAATCTCCGGCCAGTGGCTTTGAAGAGTTTTCATCAGAGCTCTTTCATGTTACCTGCTACCCCATCTTTTACAGTACCTGGAGATGTCAAGGATTGAATCCAGTACCTTCTGGATGGCTTTCACTTAATTATGTCCCCTCCACTAGATGTAGATTGTTAATTTGTCCCCTCAATATCATACTTTTACTTTACTTTATTTAGATTTATACCCCTCCCCTCTAGACAAAGTCAAC